CTCTGCCCGACCTGGGCATTGACGTGACTGTGCGCACAGCCCAACCCCCGACCACCTCGCAAGCCTGCATCAAGGTGGGCGCTGCCCTTCGCCGAGCCGAAAAGGAGAAGCGCGACTACTACACCGGTTTCAACCATGGAAAAACTCTGATCGTCCCTGCGGCGATGACGACAACCGGTGGGTTCGCCTCCTCCTTTGTGGATCTGCTTGGTCAGCTCGCCCGCTGCGCCGAGGCCCGTGGTGTGTACCAGCCGGGGCTGGATGAGGCCTTTGTTCCTCGATGGAAGGGTCGCTTTGCGGCGCTGGTCCATCAGATGAACGCTGACCACATCCAGCGCCACTTTGGCGGTGTCTGCCTGCGCTCGTCGTAGGTAGGCACCGCCTCGGGGGTCCCTCTGTGGGGATCCCTGTGTGCACCTGTCACTCCCTAGGTGGTTCTCGTTGTGTCTGTTGATGGCTTGACTTGTATTTTTGTCTGATTTTGCTTTGATTTCTGCTGTATCTGTGTGGTATTTTTGCTGAATTTTTGTAAGGTCCTTTGTATGATGTCTTTGTCTTCTGTGGTCGGTTGTTTTCTCAATCCGACGTTGTGTCTCGTTGGATGTGAGCGTGCCGTGGTGTTCTTTGTGTTTGTGCTGTGATGCTTGTACTTGTGATGTATGCCTGTCATTTTTGGGTGACTAGTGTTTGGAATGGCCGTATCTCTGGTTATACTTGGTCGTTTTGTACGATTTTTGTTTCTATGTGCGTAATTCTTCGCGCTTGTACTCCTCGGCATGATAGGAGCCGATGAAAATGTCTTGTTCTCTTGTGTTGTTTTGCGTGCCGTCGTGATTTTGATGTCGGGGTTGCACAGCTTTGCTTTCGGCTCTGAGGTTCAAACACCTAATTTATTATTATTGTTCTGCAAAACACACAAAACATGGCAGCGCTCGCCACGACCGTAACCATGTTTTCCCTGACGCCATGACCACCCCGCTTCGCCCTCACGCCCGCCACTCTGTCCCTACCGCCCGTGCCTCGTCTCATGTGCCCTCGACGTCCCCCGCTGCCGGTGCGACCGAGTCTTCGGCACGTGCCGTCGTGCCCGCGGCCGAGCCAGTGACCAGGACGTCAAACGGCGGCGGGGAGCAACATCCCATCATCGGAAACACTTCCAATGCTTCTCCCCGCACCCCTCGCACGCCATCCAGCCCTCGCTCCTTTGCTCAAGTTGCTGCGGCAATGCCTGCCGCCGCCACTGCCACATCTTCGGCCCCTATGACCGAGGATTTGTCAGCATCGGTGCCCTCTGAGCCAAATGGCAGCGGGGAGCAACAACCCTCGCCCGAGTCCACAGGGCAGACACATCATTCGATTCCTAACACACCATCGGATTTTTTGACCATGTCTTCGGATGAAAGCGACTCCCCTCCTCGCTCCACCGCACTCCGNGCGCCCACCCCTATCGCCCCTCCCGCGCATGATGGTGACGGTGACACAAACGGCAGTGCCACGCCAGAGCCATTGGTGCAATCACCTACACCCGCTCAAATGGTGCTGCCATATCCATCGGGTACACAACAAACCCATTCCGATCCCTCTCCGCCCTCTGCTTCACCCCCTGCCACTACCATTTTGCCCGCTGCCATTTCACATCCGGTCGAACACAGTGAGCATGCAAACTCAGCCCCACTTGGCGAAGTCAGTGAAAGTGAAACACACAATACAGCGGGCGAACACAGTGAGAGTGAGCAAGATGTTCTTCTCAGCGATCCCGCTCCGCCCATCGCTGCCAACGTGCTGGATGCCCAGCGCAAGGTCCTGCTGAAGACATCTGGCCACAGGCAACTCCTCGCCTGCCCATTTGGGCTTTGCAAATGCAAGGGGCCCCGCCTTGACCGCAAAGCTTGGGTCAATCATGTACTACGCGAGCACCCCTACGACGAGCAAGCCACTGATCTGGTCAAGCAGGTGATGGAGGCCAAATTGGTCGCCCAGTGCAACAAGTGTCACCTCTTCTTCGAAGCTGCTGGTATCAGTCAACACCGCTCCCGATGTGGTGCCAATCTGAAGCGAGCGACCGAGGCGTTGTTTCATGCGGCTGGACACGACCTGCTTGAGATTATGCGTGGCGCTTGGCCCCAACAGTGTGTAGGGTCTCGCGTCAGTGTCTGCGAGCTGCTCAAGCTCGCCCGGCATCCACTGATGCAGCGCAGCCGCTACCCATCCAACGCCACCGAGACCAAGCTGATGGCTGCCACCCTGAGCCAGCTGTATTGGTCTGCCGTCCACTCGGACTATACCGCTGAAGAGCGAGAGATGTGCTGGGCTTTGATTTTGGCCTTG